AACCCAGGACAGACTTCAGGTAAGGTGTCCAACCCAGGACAGACTTCAGGTAAGGTGTCCAACCCAGGACAGACTTCAGGTAAAGTGTCCAACCAAGGACAGACTTCAGGTAAGGTGTCCAACCCAGGACAGACTTCAGGTAATGTGTCTAACCCAGGACAGACTTCAGGTAAGGTGTCCAACTCAGGACAGACTTCGGGTAAGGTGTCCAACCCAGGACAGACTTCAGGTAAGGTGCCCAACCCTGGACAGACTTCAGGTAAGGTGTCCAACCCAGGACAGACTTCAGGTAAGGTGTCCAGCTAAGGTGAAACAGCAGGTAAGGTGTCCAGCTAAGGTGAAACAGCAGGTAAGGTGTCCAAGGAACGGCCAGGTCTAAAGGTTTATAGATCCAGTAAACTGAAGATGTGAACCACAATACTTTTATATCAGTATTAACAATCAAATAATCTTGAAGACAAGGAAGGGGCCATGGACTCATCGTCATTTTAACAGTTCTTCTTCATTTCTTTTCCTGCCAAAAGTTCCTTTTTGAATGTTAAGAACTTTGTGTATAATTAAATTTTACTGGTAGTTAATATCAAGGCTGAGGTGCAACAAAATGGTCTTACCAAAGAATTCTGTTTTATTACAGATAAATGTCATGTTTTTAGCTTCGCTAGTGTGACATTGATGTGAATTCTGACAGAACATGCTCTTGTATATGTCATTCTGTGTTGGTCAGATATACAAGTGGATGTTTACTGAATGTTTTCTGTATTGTTCAGCCATTCAACTGGATGGTGACGGTGGGTATGTGACCGCAGCCCTGGGAAACACCTGGAGTCACAGTGTGAACACCAGACTAATTCTCCAATACCTCACAGACCTGGAAAGACAGGTGGGTGTGTCTGATCCTGTCTTGCTTTCTGTTTATGATATGAGCCTCTTCCCTATTTTAGAAAGCTGCCCTTCTCTGACTTTTATATTACCACCAGGGCTTATATATATTGAATTATAATTGATGAGAACTAATAAATGTCAGTTGTTTTGAGAAATGTTGACATTGTGCATGTACCATCTTACAACACTGTTAAAATAACAGCAGTTAATGATTTTGTATATTGATTTAATTACAGTTTTACACTTCTTGTCTTGTCCTAACTTTTAGGACTTTTATTTCTGAATTATCTCCCTTAGACCATTCAACGTAAATGTCCATCAAAAGAGGGGCATTTCATTTTACTGTATTGACCGTCCCTTCGTCTGTCTGCTTACAATAACTTGTAATTGTAAGTTAGTAGTCCCTAACTTTTCCTGTTAATCTTTTGAGTTTTGGTGTATGTAATGATTATCATAGAAAGATGTGTATTGTATAATGGGGTTCTGCATTAAATTTTATGACAGATATGGTCCTTTCTTTTCACCATCACATTTTTGGACATGATTTGAAATACAGGCAAAGGAAGGCAAATCCTGTAAAAAGAGTTAAAATCAGTTAACAAGAAACAGAATCACCCTGTATGATTCCTAACTTTATGAATTCAGCTTGTGAAGTAAAATACCTGTATGTTTTCTCATTTCAACACATTCAAAATATATTTTTAATTTTCCTAAATGATGAACAGCAAATTAAGCTTTTTCTTGTTACATTTCAATATTTTAATACATTTGGTGCAAATATACATCAGAAAAAATCTAAGTATGACACTTTTTGCTTTATTTTAAAAAAATATGACCCATTTGAGCGCAATTGTTGAAACCTTTAGATTCAAACATTAGAAACTTAAGATTAATGCTGCAACCTTATTATTACCATAAACAATTGTTTCTCTTCCAAATGACATGTTTTTCACCCACGTATATTGATATATGTGCTATGTGATGCTTTTGTTTTTTAAGGAATATTTTGTGATTATTCAGACTTACCAACAAAACTAAATGGTTCAAACCTCCTGCAAAATATCACAAATTACTGCCAGCTCAAGCTTGAAATATGTGTATGATATACCTTCATTCAGAGATTGTATACCGTGGAGTGTTTGTAATTATCCCCTCCCTTGTTTACAGGTGATGGTTGCCAAGTCGCCAATCGCCCCATTTACAGTATTTACGTACACAATACAGCAATCTGGTCTTGTCCAGAAGGGTAAGTTTTACGTCTGAATTACCTCCCTTACACCATTCAAAGATCATGCAACTGTTGGCCAAGTCTATTTGTAGATACATATCAACGGATAATACACGAGCAACTGCATGACCTGGTAGCATAAAAAATGTGTTTTTACATTAACAGTTCACACCTCTGATTAGGTAAATTTACCCCTGCCAAGTGAAGTCTAGCATCCCTGTTCATATCTTCAAAGTGGTGTTGGTTGTTGCTTTTGGACAGTGGTGGTCCCTATATACAGGTTCTGTTTTATTGAGGTTGGTGCTGCTCTCTCCACTAGGAGGGATTACGGTACAGGTTCGAGGCCTACGTGGGGCAGTCAACAGGTACTGGCCCTAGGTCAGTGGTTTCCTCTGGGTACTCTAGTTTTTCTCCACTATCAAAACCTGGCACATCCTTAAATGACCGTAGCTGTTAATAGGACATAAAGCTCAAACAAACCAAACTACTCGGAAGGACTTTTCTATAGGTAGATATAGTGTTTATTTGGAGATTACGTTCCACAGGTGGCTCTTGGTACTAGAGGGAACTGTGCCTGTGCTGTATACAGAGCCCTCTAGCCAGGTTTGTGTTACTGAGGTGATGCTGGTCTAGCTTATTAGTAGGAAGGACTTTTCTTTCCTGCATACTAGACCGAGATATCCGCATTTCCGGCGGTGCTGGAAAATTCTATCCGACCCACAGGTCTAGATTGCTTGCACACGCAGACTAGCGGGGGAATTATAGTGATCTTTCAGGGTCACACTATTGTTCGTGACGTCATTTTATGACGTTTTTGGGTCAGTCAGGGTCATTGACGTCACAAACAATTGCCATCCGGGCTCCATATGCAAATGAGAAATGTGCGGACAGTTTAAAACTTTACTAGAAAAACAGCTGTTTCTAAGAGTTTTAGGTAATAAGCAAGAAACAGAATCCATCCCTGATGTGAGGTAAGGATAAGGTTATTCAAACCTTGGGATAAAATATTGAACAAAAGACCCTTGGCAAAGCCTTGGGTCTCCTGCTCAATATTTTATCCCTTGGGTTTTGAATAACCTGATCCATACCTCACATCAGGGATAGATTCTATTAGAATGTCTATATCAGACCAGAGGGTCGTGTCAGTCACTGTCAGGGTACTGTTCTGTTTTATATAGACATAGTCTTTATAGACAGGTTTTTCTTATAGAGGGTGGTGCTGGTCACTATGCAGGAACAGATCCAGGGAAACAGAAGATCAAGGTGAAGTCTGCACTAGGGATGGATGCATTGACAAGAAGTACAGGACCAGACCAGGGATGATGACAACAGGTGGGTTAGCCCATTTCTCAACTAAATTAAATGTAAAAGAATGATTAAATATATTCATCAGCATTTACTCTGTCAAAAGCAGCAAAGTCATATATACATCATCAATTAAGGGCCCGTGTTCACAAAACCTTACCTATCTCGTGCTCAAAATAAGATTCTGTGCTCATGCCCTGTTTCTTGTACAGGTAATGAATTATATCTCATTTTGTAATGATCTGGAGGTATTTTGGAAAGACTTGAAGCTGAATACTCTTTTCAGTTTATAAACTTGGCTGTTTACCAGTGTTACCTGTTACATGGCTATTGAGTATTTCACCTGACACTGCTGTTGGAAAAAAGAGGTGCTCTTTTGAAGGTTCAACATGTTCTGTAAAAAACACAAATGAATCATATTACTAAATAGCCTCTTGGTACTGCTCTTGTTAGCTTTATTGGAAAATAATAGATGTGTAGATGTTTGAATCATTGGAGACATTCACTAAGACAGAAAAATTTGGAATTTAATTAAAAAAGGTGAAAACTGACTCATTGTAAAGTTATAAAGAGTGCCATTAACTTAAAGAGTCATTGAGACCAGGAGTCAACCTGAAAACTGATAGTTTTACTACAACATTTTACCTTTAACTGCATTCAAACATCAATTCTACCTATAACTATGAGAAGATAAAAGTATCTAAATTACCTCATTTTATCCATTTCAATGAATTCTCTATTAATTTTCATTTTATTTTATGATCCGTCATTAATCAATCATCGATCATTTGATGATAATGGATCATAGATTTTGAAGTGATTTCCACCACTAACCGTAACTTTGCTTCAGGAGTTGCCACTTTTCATTATATTCATTTCAATTGAAAATCACTTTTAAGAGAGATGTATACCATAAGGTTTCCTCCTGAAACCAGGAAGATGAACTACAACATGGATACCTATTACATGGTGATTCTTCTGGTATCTTTTCCTTACTTTTCTTATGACATAATGTTTGGTTATGTCTGGTATTTATTTCATAGAGGCAATAGTAAATATACTTCAGCTAGATGTGTATTAAAGACTTTAGCACTTTTTTTAAACTTTGTCCGAAGGAACGAAGGACCAAGATGAGCTTATGCCATACCGCAGCGTCTGTCGTCCGTCGTCCTGCGTCCGTCGTCCGTCGTCTGTCAACTTTACACTACTAGTCATGAACCACTGAGCGGATTTTAACAAAATTTGGTGGAGCATCCTTGGGTGAAGAAGAACCAATTTTGTATAAATGGTGGTTCTGGCCCCCCAGGGGCCTGAGAGGCGGGACCAAATAGGGGAAATAAAGCAAGTTATTCTTTAAAATCCTTCTCCTTCTGTAGGAATGAAAGGATTTGGTCCATATTTGGTCAGAAGCATCCTTGGGGGAAGGGAAACAAAGTTTGTATAAGTGGTGGGTCTGGCCCCCCGGGGGCTGAGGGATGGGGCCCAATGGGGGAAATAAAGCAAATTCTTTAAAATCCTTCTTCTTCTGTAGGAATGAAAGGATTTGTTCCATATTTGGTCAAAAGCATCCTTGGGGGAAGGGGAACAAAGTTTGTATAAATGGTGGGTCTGGCCCCCCGGGGGGCTTAGGGGCGGGGCCCAATAGGAGAAATATAGCAAATTATTCTTTAAAATCCTTTTCTTCTGTGGGAATGAAAGGATTTGGTCCATATTTGGTGTGGAGCATCATTGGGTAGTGGGGAACCAATTTTGTATAATTGGTGGGTCTGGCCCCCCTGGGACCTGAGGGGTGGGGCCATACATGTATAGGGGAAATAGACGTAAATCTTCAAAATCCTTCTTCTACCATAGGGATTAAGGGATTTTATTCTAATTTAGTCTGGAGCATCCTTGGGCCAAGGGGACTCAATTTTGTATTAGCAGTAGTTGTGGTCTCCGAGGGCGGGCAGAAGGGCGGGGCCCAATTGGAAAAATAGAGGTAAAACCTTTAAAATCCTTCTCCGACCATCGGGATTAAGGGATTTTATCCTTATTTAGTGTGGAGCATCCTTGGGTGACGGTGACTCAATTTTGTATAATTGGTGGGTATGACCCCCATAGGGGCATAGGGGTTGGGCTCTGTTTGAAGTTTGTTCTCTATATCTCAAGTACTTGATGGATCTTTCTGAAATTTCTTATGTACTAACAGCACCTACCATGGAGTGCTATATCTTTACTTCATACCAATTACTTTAATTATATTCAGGTGAGCGATACAGGCCCTCTGGGCCTCTTGTTCTGTATAACTAGTAATCTTTACTTGTAAACTGACATGTAGGGTGTGTGAACAAATTAAAAAGGTAATGATGGCTTAATGTTTTAAACTAATACTGAATGACAATTCCAGGAATATTTTAACTGAGTCATGCAGTAAGAATTCCCAGATAGACATCAACATGAGCAGACCGACTTTGGCTATTATTTACATGTGGTGGCGACTGGCGATAACATTGAATAATTAAACCCAAGTCTTGTTTTTTAACAACACTAACAGGACGTTTAGCTGGGTTTAACTTTAACTTCATCAGATAAATAATTATTACGATTTGTTACGTATTTCAATTCTAGATTTGTCTTTTGCTAGATAAGACTCCCATTTGAAAGAGATCGGTGTTTATGTTTGACAGGTTTTGGATATGTGGTAAATTAATGCTCACTCAGGCTTATATAAAAGTTAATATCCTGTTGTGGGAGATAATGAGAGGCCCGTTTTGAGGTGGACAGCGATAAGCCTACTCGGCATCTGGGATACTTGAAGAATTATGTAGGATTAATGAAATTCCTATGTCCAGTTTTCGTCTCCGAGCGTTCGGTATGGTGTTTATTGTGTGATTGTCTCGGAGTTGACACCACGCTGCACCGACTTATAAAGTGTTTGGATAGGACGTTGACATATAGCTTTTCTTCAAAAACAACATTCCCTTAGCCGGGTATCAGTCAGCTAACTTCAACTTTGAAAAGCAATTGATGACTGAGAAATTATTTTGAAATGTTTAATCGCCTAATCCATATAGATAAATTGTATCTACAGCCAGCCTTTGGCAAGGGAACACAATGACAAGTATTTTAGAAGTTTTAGTCCTTTAATCTGTGTTGATTTTGGGAGTGCCTGACACTGAATCACTGCTGCTTTAACGGGAAAAGGTTTTGAACAAGTTCGTATTCTAATCCAGGTCAATTTTAAATATTTACTTGAAAACGCTACAATCACAAAGGGAAGTTTTTATAGTTCTTATCATTTAAGACCTTGATACTGTACACAGTTGTCGGGATAAATTGAATGAATAGTGAAATATTTGACCTCTGACATGAAAATACTTTTATAGAATGATATCGATAAATTAACTATTGAAAAATGAACAGTGTCATTATATTTACAAAAGACTTCCTGGTGATGATGAATCGTATTTATTCAACAATAACACTGCATGCGAAGTAGTCACAGGATTTCTGTTTTTTATATTTACTTATAAAGGTAGCAGGAAATATTATGATTCTGATTAAGGTTAAGTAGATGTCTTGAAATTAGACTGAGGAATTGGTTGTTCATGCAGTTGTCTGAATGGTACAAAATGCCTGTATGAAGCTATATATACTACCCCAGTGTCACGAACACTGCCAGTCAGCCTCACGCTGAGGAGCTGCGTTGGCCAGGTGGTTAAGGCGTCTGACACTCTGCTACCACTAGCCCTCCACCACTGGGCCGAATTCTGCTACCACTAGCCCTCCACCACTGGGCCGCGGTATCCAAGCGGTTAAGGCTTCTGACATTCTGCTACCACTAGCCATCCACCACTTGGCCGCGGTGGCCAAGTGGTTAAGGCTTCTGACATTCTGCTACCACTAGCCCTCCGCCACTGGGCCGCGGTGGCCAAGTGGTTAAGGCGCCTGACATTCTGCTACCACTAGCCATCCACCACTGGGCCGCGGTGGCCAAGTGGTTAAGGCGTCGGACATTCTGCTACCACTAGCCATCCACCACTGGGCTGCGTTGGCCAAGTGGTTAAGGCGTCTGACATTCTGCTCCCACTAGCCATCCCCCACTGGGCCGCGGTGGCCAAGTGGTTAAGGCGGCTGACATTCTGCTACCACTAGCCATCCACCACTGGGCTGCGGTCGCCAAGTGGTTAAGGCGTCTGACATTCTGCTACCACTAGCCCTCCACCACTGGGCCGCATTCTGCTACCACTAGCCCTCCACCACTGGGTTGTGGGGTTGAGTGGTTAAGGTGTCTGACATTCTGCTACCACTAGCCCTCCACCACTGGGTTGTGGCTTAGAGGCTTACGTAGGGCGGTGGTTTTTCTCCGCGAACTCCGGCTTTCCTCTACCAGTACCACCAAAACCTGGCATGTCCTTAAATGACCATTGCTGTTAATAGAATATAAAACACAAACAAAACAAAAGCATCAAGCTGAGCTCATAGAGACTTAAGTTCAAACTTACTCTTAAAAATCTTGTTCAAGTTCTGACTGTTAAAGTAGCTGTTTTGTACATGCTGAAGAATACATGTTACCTTACAATGACATTTTCCTACAGGGCTCCACATTCAAAACTTACCCATAAGATTAGCTCAAAACACACTTGAAATGTACACTCAGTTTGTTCTCAATGATTAGGTGCTTACAAGGTTAAAGAAAAAAATAAGGGAGATAACTCCATCACAAATCACATGTATAACGTGAAAGGTAGCATAAATCGTAAGTCATGCCCTATACCTCATTTTGAATGTTGGACAGGCTAAAGTTTTAAGGGTAAGTAATATGATTGCTTCCCAGCTGCCACTCATTCTGTATGTGCTGGTATTTTATTTGGAGGTTTATTGGGGAGGGGGTCTCCTTAGAAGTGAGTGATAATGTGACAAATAAAGAGAATACAATGTTAGTAATATATCAAAAGTTGTGGAAGTTTTAAGTTTGGTGATGCTTTCAATGCTTGTATCACATTAAATCTGACATGTATACATTGCTTCCAAATTAAATAACATAT